GTCTCGTCCCTCGCCACCGAGGTGCGCTTGATCCCACCTCACCTCCTGATAGGTAGCTGACGGCTTGGGTTGGGTCAGGTGGTCGAGTTGCTGGGCCGGGACAACCCGGGCGTGTTCGCTGAGGTGGCCAAGATAAGATCATCCCAGGAGTAGAGCAACCTCCAGATAATTCAAATACAAATTCAATTATACCTTTTCCATTTGTTCAAAATGCGCCTCCGCCAAAGAGCCGAGAAGGGAACTCCGTCGCCACAGTGACGGACCCAAACACGCTGCCGGGCGGGGCAGAGAGTACTGGACTGTGTGGGCCTAGTGAGTGCCAGCCATGGCGGCCGAAGTGTTGATGTTTTTGGTGCACCTCACCACCACCGCCTTCATGACCGCCATTATTTGGTTCATGCAAATTGGTACCCCCCCACCCCTATTTATTTTTCGCAATTTTCTAAGTATAACAAATAATAGTGAATTAAATAGAATAATCAATAATTTAAATAATATAATCAATAATATATTACCAGGACACTATCCGATGCTGCGGTACGTGGGTCGTGAGGCCTACACGACGTACGAGCAGCAGCATGTGAAGCGTGTGATGCTGCCGGCGGTCATGATCCTCTTGCTGGAGCTGTTCTCGGGGTTCTACCTGGCCTTTGTGCCCACCCAGCGCCTGCCCTCCCTGCCCATCCACATCGGACTCGTCCTCCTCCTGCCCATCTGGCTCTCCACCTGGTACCTACGCTCTCATGCGTGCGGTGTTGCGTGCGCGTGTGCGTGTGTGCGTGTGGCGTGGCGGCGCGTGTGTGCGTATGCGTGTGCGCTTCTGTGCAGTAACTGATGAAGGTCTGGGCGAATGTCTGGTAAGGCTGTGGCAAGTGCCGGCCCACAAATCGCTGGAGCGTAAGTTCGACCTGCGTGTGCATGCATGGCTCATCAACTCCAATTGGCTGCGTACCGTGGCGTGGTCGGCTCGGTTGGGCCTCCTCCTCTACGCGCTCTTCGTCTCCTTCTAGTAAACGAAAAAAACGGAAATTACGAACATTTAGGGCGAACACTCGAGAGTGGCGACATCACGTCGCTCCAGGGTCTGCCTCGTCCTCCCCTCCTTCTCTTTTGTGCTCTTTTTCGACTACTTCTTCGTGTTCTTCCTTCGCGCTAGGCTACACAGCGCTGCGCTCAATTTCCAGCTGTGAGCGGCATGAGTTTCGACAAACAACCGAGGGAGCTGTACCCCGCACACAAATGCTAACCAAACACTCATCACCACCTGACTAAACCATAGCTGGGTTCACCAAGAGCCCCACCATGAGCTATAGTGAGACAGGTTCTCCTACCATTGCACATTCACATTTGCATCATGCCAATAACATTTTGTCGTGTTTTGATGTTCTTGTGTAGGAGAGACCTTACGAGTCCACTTTGAGGACTTGGGCAAGTGTTACACACACCTGACCAAGTGGTATGGCTTCCACTCGCTCTGGTGGTGGGTTCGACGCCTGGGCCAGCTTTCAGTGCGTGACGACGAGGACAACTGGGTCTACTCCCTCCACACCAACGCCAAGAACATCAAACCCACTCAGAAGATCAAAGCCCACATGTTCGCCTTGGCCTTCCAGGTATACCAGAACATCTTGCAAATTTTACACTACGCTGATTCGTTGCATGTCGCCCAGTTCACCGATCACTGGCGCGAGTGCGCCCAGCGGCTGTCCCGCTCTGCGGGAGAGACATCTGCTCAACCTGTAGTGAATGCTGATCACGAGGAGCAGCTACTGGCCTGGCTCGACCTGCACCTCTACATCGTGTGGAAGTACCTCGTACGCGCTGCCCTTCGTTATTTCTCGCTCTCTTTTGCTTCATTCTTCATTTTTGCCAATGATGTATCAGCACTGACATTTTGGTTACAGTCTGACTGGACGCAGCATGGGTTCCCGTTCTTTACCTTCATCAGGCGCGATGACCTCGCCACCATGGACGACGATGGCCACCCAGCCCTCTTCTCTGAAGACCAATACCTCGGTCTTCGCTCCGTAAGTACGTGCCACAACACACCGCACACGCACACGCACACGCACACGCACACGCACACGCACACGCACACACACACACACACACACACACACAAGACACACACACACACACACACATGACGCGACACCACACGAATGGCCGTTGCAGAGCAAGCGTACGAGTGGCAACTTCAGTGGACGACGAGGGGATACCAGGCCTACCTCTTCTGGAACGCGCACGAGGCCGAGCTTGAGGGGATGGGCCTGCTCACGCAGCGACTAATGGACGACCGCACCGAGGCCGGCTTCCAGCGCTCCCTCGCGGCCCTCGTGACTGCCGTCAGAAACCACAGACGAAGGCAGCGGCGACGCGAGCCCTACTGTTTGCGTCCATTAGGTGAGCTGCACGGATGTGCGTGAAGTGTGTGCGTAGGTGGTAGTGCGTGCTGTCTCTCTTCCCCTACTGATCCGGGCTGTGTCTACAGCTCCCACGCCAACGCTGGCAAGGATCGGAGCGATGTTGACCCAGATACAGACGATGCTGGCCGGCGTCGTCAAAGAAGAAAGCAACGACCACGATGAGTGCCCCCCTGCAATCAAAGAAGACAATGACGAAGACGAAGAAGACAGTGAAGACGACGAAGACGAAGAAGGTCAATCGGAGCCGGAGGGCCAGCAGCAGGTCGACTACCTGCGCCGGGCCTCAAGAGAGCGAAGGAGAGATGCGACCGCCTTTCCTCACTGGTTCCTCGGGCGTGCGCCGACGAAGAAGATGAGGCCTTCTCCAACGACCACAACCACCTCGCGCTCGCTCGTCTCTCGCCGCCCCCGAAGAGACGACGCAGACGAGGCGCACACCACACCAACGCCCCGTGATGACCTCCGCCGTGCCGCACGCACCACTTTGTGTACAAAGTGAAGGAGTGTTGTTTGCTCAACATATCAGCTGAAAAGGCACGAAGAAGATTCGGGCTTGAGTGCCAGCGAGTGGGAGTTGAACTTGACAGCGACGTTGATGACCTCGTGCAGCAGCTCCCTCACTTTTTCCAGTGTGCGGGCTGAGCATGGGATGAAGCACGCGGCGCCAATCTCCTGCGCAACCGCCAGTGCCTGGGTCGCAACACAAAAAACAACGAAGCGAAAGCGAAGATCTTCAAGCTCAGCACTCTCTCGGACGCAACCGATCGGGTGTGATTATCTTCGAATAAGCACACAACACACACACACACACGGTGAGGTGATGAGATACCTGATTTTCTTCTTTGATGAAGCGTCGCAGTTGATGAAGTAATTCATCGTTCTCGACAGGGTAGTCCCACGATTGGCCGCAGGCAGCCCAAGGGAAACTGGCCCGTAAAAAAGTCACGTCCAAAAATAAAAGGAAATAGCGAAAGAAACACGTAGGCGGTGATTGGTGGGCAGGCGATTGTCGGGGAGCCAAGACAGAGCGGACAGCAGAAGCCGGAGGAGAAGAGGAGAAAGAAATCAGGATAGAAGCCGGAGACACAGACGCCATGAAGCAGGCTGTGCTTGCCCTCCTCTTCCTCTTTGCCCTCTCCACCCTGGCCATCCGCGACCGTATGCGCCCCTTCTCTCCAGCCCTTTCCACGCTCAACCTTCATCACCATTCAGGAGCGGCAGTCCTGAGCTCAGCTGAACTGTAAACTGTGAACTAACTTCTCAACACGACGTCGTGCTTCCTGTCATCTACTCCTTGCTCTGATCCTCCATTTATATAAATAAATGAAGTGTTGGCCCCACTCCACGTCGCCGAGGATGCCTCGCACCGTATCGAGGGCGAGTACCTCGTCCTCTTCAACGACGCCCTCACCCGCCCCCTCTGTACCCCCCCCCCCAATCGCTTCGCTCTCCACCATTTCCCTGGTGATTGTCAGGCCCGTGTTCTCTTGGGCGTGACGTGACGTACCCATCACATCCATGTAGTTGAGACGCAGGTGGCCGCGCTGCAGGCGGCTCTCGAGGCTGCTGCCGACGGCAGCAAGCTGAACCGCACCTTTACCCTCGGTGACAAGTTCCGCGTGCTTCACGTCAATCTCTCTCCCAAGTACGTTGACGCGGACTAGGTAGTCACGCGTGCGCGTGGCCTGGCGCAGAGATCGGCCTCTGTCATGTGCCATATGCCTCATGTTGTCGTCGCCACATTCCCACGTGTATCACAGGTCGTTGACCGCGGTCAGGGCGCACCCCTCTGTTGTCCTCGTCGAGGAGAACCAGGCTGTACACATTGATCAGGCCTGCGCCTCTCAGAACGACGCCATCTGGGTATGTTCAGTCATTCCTTCGTAACGGTGATCGCCTGGCATCATCAACGCAGCTTTGCACATGCTTAGGGTTACGCGCCTGGTTCTTGCCTCTCCATAGAACTTGGCTCGCATTGACGAGCACGACATTGACCTGGTAGACGATGACTACAAGTACAGCCACGCCGGAGAGGGCGTCGACGTCTACATCATCGACAGGTAAGCCTCAACGTCTCACGCGCCCACATGTCCACACACACAGCTTTACTCACCCTTCGCCTCCCCCTGTCCTCTTCAGTGGTATCTTGACCACCCACGTCGAGTTTGGCCACCGTGCCCAGTGGGGCGCCAACTTCGTCGACGACGGTATCGACACTGACTGCTACGGTCACGGTACCCACGTCGCTGGCACTGTGGCCGGTGAGCTCTACGGTGTGGCCAAGAATACTACCGTCATCGCCGTTCGTTAACCGACTCCACTTGGTCTCTTCCCTGCCATGGCGAGACACTAACGCCTGCTACTCTCCATTCTCGTTTTCACCTGGTACAGGTCAAGGTGCTCGGCTGCCTTGGCATCGGCAGCTGGGCTGGTATGATCGAGGGTATCAGCTGGACCGCCAACCAGGCTCAAAAGCGCGGCCGTCCCTCTGTCGCCAACATGTCTGTCGGTGGTTCCAAGTCCGCGATCGCCAACAGCGCCATCGCCGGTACCAATCCTCCGTTGTGTTACCGCTCGTTCTCGCTAGTGCTAACTAACCCTCTCGATGCTGTTGTTTATGGCACATGTGCAGCGGCTGTGGATGCTGGTGTGACCTTTGTCGTCTCTGCTGGTAACGAGAACAGCGATGCCTGCAGAAGGAGCCCCGCGAGCGAGCCCCTGGCCATCACTGTAGCTGCCACCACCATCGTGTCTAGCTCGAGCGGTGCCTCGCAAGACCGTCGCACCAGCTTCAGCAACTTTGGCAAGTGCGTAGACATTGCCGCGCCTGGCGAGCTCATCAAGGCCGCGTGGATCGACCAGGACGGCTTCGCACCTAACACCCTCTTCAACACCATCTCCGGTACCTCCATGGCGAGCCCTCACGTCGCCGGCGTGGCCGCGCTTGTGCTGAGCAAGTACCCCAAGTACACGCCCGCTGAGGTGGAGACTGCCCTCTACAAAGTCGCCACCGAGGGTGTGATCGACCTTGCCTGCTCTGGGCTCTGGGAGTCAGTCCGAGTCGAATGCTTGGGCACCCCCAACAAGCTGCTCTACACCAGCTGCTGAAGCCCAAGCCCAGGCCAGCTTGAATCAGTTCCACGCAAGGACCACAGCAGCAAACACACCTCAATTTTGTCGTCTGGGCGTGGTGGCAGTGGACGCACACTCATCACCGCGGCGTCGTGATGTGCTCTCATTGTACGTACCAAATAAAGATCTTTTATCAAATAGCTTCTAAGAAGCTGTTTAGGGTTAGCTCTCGACGAACACTGTGATCCAAAGTCGTTTGGGGTTTGAATCAATCTTCACGTTGTGGAGGGCGATCAGTACTAATACACCGCAACAGTGGGGGAAGACCTGGGCGAGCAGCCACCTCCAGGAGCGCAGCAGCAGCGTGGAGTGAGGGGCGAGCATTCCAATTGGCTCCTGCTATTATCGGTCCTATGTTGCTTGCAGAGCAGCCTAATTGGACTGGGCAAGATTAGATCTGGCGCTGGCCACCCACAGCTGAGTGCGTGCTATCCTGTGCCCAAAACGCTCTAGAAGCGCTCTGTGAGCTAGTATGTTGAACTGAAACGAACCTCTTGCAGACAAGACACGCCCGGGTGAGGTCAGTGCCGGTCATGTAGGAAAAGATGAGCATCATCACTTCGTCCGGCAGCTGATGGCCGCTCCCGCCGGCGCTCAGGCGGCGAATGAGGGTGCGGCATTGGAATGTGGCGGCAGTGCCAAGCACGACGGGCCCCCGTCGCGGCCACCAAGCGTGACCAGTTCGTGCGATCCCGCCCAGGCGGCAGAGTGGAAATAGAGACCATCGCCCACAGTCCCTCGTGCATCCCACCTGTCCCACTTCAGGTTCTCTGCCAGTGAGACAAGCGCTTGACAACGTCGAGTCAGACACACCAGGCAAACACAAGGCAATCACGAATGGCTCATGAAGATGTAGTGGAGAAACCCAGGTAGAATTGCCAGACATCGTCGAAGGCTTGCAACATCGACGGCGCTGAGCTCCAGAGCCGCATAGCCGTAGCGCGCGGAGGGCCGCCTCGACTTGTCCTGTGGGCGCTGCACCACCTTTTCCCACACTTTTCGGTCTGTGCAAATGCGCGGGAGAGTGGTGCCGTGATCGCCGAGACTTGGCATAGTGTTGGGGTCGATGAGTACCGAAATGAAAGGCTCACATGTCCTTCAGCGGAACCTTGTCGTTCCTGCCGCCGAACACGTACATGATGTCTTGGCCGGCCAAGAGCACTTCAGCATGATGAAACCGGGCCGGTGGTTGGCCCTTCTCTAGAATAAATGCTGTCCTCCACCAGCTTAACTAAGTGGTGGAGGATAGGTTTTATTCCCACTTAGCTTCTTGCCCACGGTTGACACCTCGCTCCAGGTCCTCTTCGCTGGTTTGGTCCCTTTGATGTCAGTTCTGCTGTGCTGTGCGTGCTGTCGTGTGTCATGGCGTGCGCAACCGCTGGCACGCACACGACGGGTGTCAGTGACATTGAGCCGCAGTCGCGTGGTGAGTGCCAGGGTTTGTTGCCTGCCTGGTCATCCGATCCTCCAAAGAGAACCAGCTGCAGCTGCTGTGACTCGCCAGGCCGATCGATGCCACGTCACGCAGGTTGCCTGGCAGCCGCGAACATTCTGGGTAGTGCGGCGAAGAAGAAAGAAAGGAACGAGCAAGCAACCACAACAGCGCAACTGTGAGTAGTCGACTGGCCGCTGCGGGTGAGTCCGGCGCGTGGTGACCTGCAGCGTGCAGCATAGCAAGAAGAGGCGGATCAGCCGCAGAGGCAACAGCACAACACCAACCACAAGTGCAGAGAGCACCTGGAGCCACCCCAAATCCAAATCGTTGAATCTCTCCACCTCCGCGGCAGAGATTACTCGATTTAGGGACGAAATGGCGACCAACCCGTTCACCTCATCCCCCCTCTCTTCCTCGGCGGGCTACGAACGAGATGAGCTCGAGGAGTTTCGTTCCTCTACAACTGCAGCCGACGATCACGAGTACCAACGGGTCACCAGCCACCACTCCGTCATCTCGCTCCAGCACCACAACCAAGCCATCACCTCCTCGCCCACCACCATCAGCAGCCCCGCCTTCCCCACACAAATTCCCAATCTCCAGATTGACAGAGATGATGCAGGCTTGCTCCTGCCTTCATCTGCCTCTTCAATGGATGACGACCTCTACCTCATGGCGGAGAAGATGATGCATCTGCCTCCATCATCTGCCGTGGCCCACGAGGCCGGCCACGGGCGGCTGGCTCGGTGGTGTCCGCCCCTGCGCCCGCTGGGCCGGCTGCTGCGGTGGCTCAACCCCCGCATACGGCACACAAACCCATCGGGCGGCTCCCTGGCCGGGTACTGGTACATCAGCGCCGAGCAGCACGTCCTCGAGTTCCTCCTCTTCAACCTCACCTTTGCCGGCCTCCTCGTCTACTTTGGCATCAACCTCGTCGCACACGGTACCGTCGGCTTTTTTCTGTTCTATTTATTATAAATGAATTATATATGAATTATATATATATGTAATAAATATATATATATGTAATAAATATATATATATGTAATAAATAATAATAAAAAAACATATATTTCTTTAGTGTACTAATAATAAATGCAGCGCCGGAAAAGACCCCGGCGGAGCCCACGGGCACGATCATCATGTACGTCCTGGCGGGCCTGCTGAGCCTTTCCTTCCTCTACACCATCTTCTACAAGTGGATGACCAAGAGCCTCATCTTCCTCCTTCAAGTGCGTTAATCTCTCTCGAACACGAGCTCACCAGCCAAAGGTATAGAGTGAGGTCTCACGTGTGTGTCGTGTCGTGTGCGGTGCATCGCGTGTGGCTTTGGATGTGTCGTTGCAGCCGTGCCACGTCATCACGACGGTGGAGCTGTTGGTGCTGTTCGCGCCGCACGGGTCGTTCATAGACATGACGATCGTGTTCAACCTCATGCTCTACTGGGTGTGGAACCCGCTGATCGCGATCCTGCAGCCCGACCTGCGCGACTACAAGCACTTCCGGGACTTGTTCAACTACTTCTTCCAGCACGCGCTCATCATTCTCATCCCCTTCTACCTCCTCTTCACGCGCCAGTACGACCTCTACCACTGGTCGTGGGAGAACCTCGTCGTACGTACCGACCGACCTACCTGAGTACCAGCAACTGTGTTGTGTTGTGTTGAATAGCACCACTGTGGGCTCATCATCGCTGACAACGACGACGACGATGACGATGTGCAGGTGTCGTTCAACTTGCAGGTCCTCTATCACTTCTTCGTGCTGGAGGTCGTGAACCTCTTCGCGTGCACCAATCTCAACTACATGATGGCGCCTCCACCAGGTACCCTCTCTCTTCTCTCTCTTCTCTCTCTCACACACGACCGCACACGACGCACAATCCCTGACTGTGGTTCGAACAGGTCCGCTGGAGTGGTTTGGTCCGTGGTACCGCGTGGTAATGACGTGCCTGTCGTTTGGCCTGACCGTGGGCCAGCGCCTTCTGCTGGTCGACGGCGGCCGGTGGCTTCTCGGAGACATCCTCTATGATCATGTCTTCCACTACTTCCCCTGACCACTGAACGCACATGTACCATATATAGATATAAAAAACAAAGTATTTAAACACACACACACACATACAAAGACCGTTCACATGATGATCTGCTGCGCACTGCCCAGGCTAGTTGTCGTAGTTGTAGTGGAGTCGCACGAAGACTTTGTCCGCCTTCTTGAACGGGCAGCCCTTGTACCTCCCGCGGTCCACGTCGTTCTTGTCCAGCGCCATCACCAGCTGGTCGTCCGTCTTCTTCTCGTTCTCTGTCGTCGCGCTGCTGTCGTCGCTCCCGCCACTCATCGGCACCAACTCGCTGTCTTCTTCTGCTTCTTCGTCGCCTTCGTCTTGTCTTAGCTCTGTGCTGCTGGTTGTGGTCGCGACCTTCTTGGTGCCGCTGCTCCGGGGCGTGGTGGCGCGGCTCGCGCTGGAGCTGTCGGTCATGAACGATGTGTGGATCCAGAAGTAGAGGAAGATGCGCTCCTTGCGCTCGCGCTCGTCCTGGCCCAGCAGCTCCAGCCGCGTGTCGCCGCGCAGGATGACCTCCTTCTCCCGGCCCTCGAGCCTCTCCGACCCGCTCACCGCCTCAAGTTCCCTTTTGGTTGGTTGGTAGTAAGTATTACGTTGTTGTTGCTGGTTGTTGGTTGTTGGTTGTTGTTGTGAAGGTCGGGTACCGTTCGAAGATCATAAACTCTTCGTTGATCCACGACGGGTAGAGGATCATGGGCTGCGCGAGCTTCTCGCCGTCGGTGTGGGTGACTCGGAAGCGCCACTTGGCCTCCTCGCCCTGTTGTCCGTCCACCACAATGAGCTTCGGTTCACACGACACACACGGCGCACACGACACACACGACACACACGACACACGCGACATACAACACGCGACACACACAACACGCGTACAGCATTTTCGAGGCGCCCCCATTCCAGGTCTCTGCTCTCGCCGTCGGACACGGGCTTGAGCGACTCCTCGCCGCTGTCGGAGTCCTCGCCGTCGTCGCCCTCGAGCCCGCCCTTGGCCGCCCTCTTCCGCCTCTTCAGCCACGACGCGATGCCCCGGCCCGACGAGCCCGACGACGAGCCCGACGACGAGCGGGACGAGAACTCGGTCATGGAGTAGCCGTCGCTGCTCGAGTCGTAGGCGGACGACGAGGCGTTGGAGTCGTAGAAGGAGCGCATCGAGGCGGTGGAGGCGTTGACCTTCTTCCGCCAGCCGTACTTGCGGGCCAGCGCCTGGAGCGAGGGCGAGACCTCGACGACGATCTTGGTCAGCGACACCCTGGGCACATGCGAGGGCAGCGTCTTGTTGTTCTTGATCACCCTACAACAACACATCAGAACCTCATTGTGTGTGCGGTGTGTGCGGTGTGTGCGGTGTGTGCGGTGTCGATGCAGTGTGTGTGCGGTGTGTGCGGTGACGCACCATTCAAAATAGCCGATGTATCGGCACTGCGACTGGGTCTCCACGCCCTGAAACTTGCTTCCCTTGGACCAATCGGTCCTCTTGGAGCCGAACAGGTGGAGCGCGTCCTCGGCCGTCGGGCACAGGCCCGAATAGAGCAGCCACGCGCAGATCATCGTGCCCGACCTGCCCTTGCCTGCGTGCGCGCGCGCGCGGGGAAAAGACCGGGTGTCGTGTGGTGTGAGTGAGACAATGAACGCAGGGCACACCAGTAGAGCAGAACAGAGCAGCACCTCCGCGGCAGTGTACGGAGATGACGTTCTCCTGGTGCTGGTGCATCCACTGCTCGGTGTACTCGCAGAAGGCCAGCATTAGGCCCAGCGTGGGCACGTTGTGGTCGGCCACGGGGTACCTTGAACACATGAAAGCAGCACCAGTGGTTATTATTTGTTAGGATTTATAATTTTAATAATGAATAAACAGAAATGTTAATAAATGATTGAATAATAGTAACTTGTTCGAGGGAGTTGGTACCGGATGACCTGGTGGTCGAACTTGTGGTAGTGGGCGCTGTAGTCCCTCTCCTCGCAGATGTTGAAGATCTTGAAGTGATTGCGGTGACGTTTCTGTAAAGAAAATAATGATAGTGAACGCTTGGTTAGTGGTGCGCAGTGAGTGCGGACCGCAATTCCACCATCAGGCAAGCCCTCGGACCTTGAAAAAGCGTGCGACGTCGTCGATGTTGTTTCGGTAGAGTGCCTCGAGCTTGATGGCGGGCACACTCATCACGATCACGCGCGCTTTGGTTGGATTAAAAATAATAAGTAATAATTAATAATAATAATAATAATGAGTCCGATTAGAGAAAGCGAAACCGAAAGAAAAAGCGAAAGCGCTCACACGTACGAGTGATGTAGGCCAAATCGAGATCGAAGCCGTCCTCTTGGAAGCGCTGCTTGTTCTCGCCCACGATATGGCGAGCGGCCACCTGCAGCCGCTTCCGCTGCTTCCAGAGGTTGATCAGCACACGCGACAGACGAATCACTGCGTGTGTGTCGACCGTCCACCGTTGAAAACGTTAACAAATCAATCGCACGCCCGTCAGGCTTCCTCTGCTGTGTGCACTGTGCACTGTGCACTGTGACCTGCTGCACGCCAAGCACACAGGACTTTGGTACGTACACGCGGTGATGACGCGGCCATAGACGCTGAATGAGCCGCCCGAAGTCCAGAACACGATGAGGATGACAATGGAGACGATGATGATGAGAATGTCCAACCAGTTCAGCCAATCTGGATGGCCATCAGATCGCGTTTCAGATAATCGTTGCAAGCCATCGGGCTTCATCATTTGTTTCTTCACACAATGCGCGTGTGCGATGTGTGCGACGTGTGCAGTGTGTGCGATGTGTGCGGTGTGCGGTGTGTGCGGTGAGTACCGCTGAAATAGGATTTGATTCCCCAGGCGTAGAGTCGAACGAGCGCCTCGATGAGCAAGACGAGGATGACGAAGCACGAGAAACCCAATGCAGTGTACCGCGCAGCGGCATCTGATTTGCATTGATGACGATGACGACGACGATGATGAAGAAGAACGCAACATGCGTGCGCACACGTCAGTTTTGGAGAAGAAGAAAGCACAGTGTGGGGAGTGTGAAAACGGTACTGTCTACGGTAATGTCAATGATGGCGAAGACTGCGTCGATCAGGATGATGAAGATGATGACGGCCTGCCACGGCAGCGAGTCCAGTATGACCCGCAACCGCCCACGCGACCGGCTACACGCGGAAGAGGATGATTAATAATAATAAAATAATAATAAAATAATAATAATCAGAGAAGTTGCCGAGGGGGGAAGGGAGTAGTACTGGAGGTGCCCGCGCCAGCCGGGCATGTAGAGCTCCTGTTGCCGCTTCTCCAATTCCTTAAATTGGCGTTCGTGATCGGCATGGGGGCGATTCAGGAGATTTTGTCGGTCGTCTCCTGCATCTCCCTCGTCGTCGACCAGGTGCACGTACGGCACCGAGGACTTGGTCGCCAGTGCCTCGGCCTCCATGGTCTCCCCTTCTCGGCTTCGGTGGGCCACCGCACTTCCGCTTCTTCTGTTCAGTTATGTATTATTTTATTTTATTTCTTTTTGCTAATTGGCCGTTCTTTTCCTTTCCCGTTTCCAACACGTGCGCAGCACCACGCGTGTCGTGTCGTGCGTGTCGCGTGTGTCGTGCGTGTCGTGTCGTGTCGCAGGTGTGGATGAGAATGTCAGCGAACGGGTGTTGTCGCTGTCGCGGGAGGAGATTGTCACTCCTCAAAGACGAGGTGGTAGTCGGCGTTGAGGGAGCGGACTTGGATGCGGACGTGGCACAGCCGGAAGACGGCGACGACGGTCGGGAAGCCCATCACGAAGAAGGCCAGGATCTTGAGCTCGTCCGGCCGCGCGGTGACCACGTAGAGGAGCATCATCCCCACGTAGACCAGGAGCGGCAGGAACACGACCTTGAGCGGCAGGAACTTGCGCACGTTGAGGTGCGGGTTCCTATGCCCGTTGCCTGTGTGCGGTGTGTGTCGTGTGTCGTGTGTGTGTGTCGTGTGTGTGTGTCGTGTGTGTGTGCGTGTGTGTGTGATGAGTCACAGACCGCACACGACGACGATGATGACGAGAGTACCGATGAGTGGCTTGGTGCCGATGAACTTCTCGACGATGAGGTAGAGCACGGTTACGAGGAAAGAGATGCAGCCCCAGCCGACGAAGTTGAGGAATGGTACGCCGTAGAAGAGCCCCGGGTAGTTCTTGTACACCCACAAACTCGCCCCGGTGGCACCCAGCGGGTCGGCTGTGCAATCATCGGCCTTCAGTCGAATTGCAACACAAACAGCATATGCGACATTGTGTGTTGTGTGTAACGCACCGACCAGGTCCCATGAAACCATCAGCCAGGACGTGAGCAGGGCCAGGAGAACGATTTTGGGCGGTGAGCTCCGCTGCTGGGACATGTGCCCATGGCCGTTGAGTATCATGTCCGCGATGCCTGTGAACAACACACACACACACACAGCGAGTCGCAGATGAGCAATCGATGGTGTGCGCGAGTGCGGTGTAACACCATGGTGAAAAAGGCAACCTCTACGCGTGACGCCGGCGGTTGCGTCAAAAGCGTGTTGTGCGGGGGAGCACGTACTGAAGCATGGATAGAGCATCATGTACCACGAGAACGGCACATCGACGGGCACGTAACTGATGCAGGGCGACGAGAGATCGGTGTAGGAGTACGCGCCATAGGGCACGTATCCCGATGCCACACCTGCGCACCATTGCCACCACGATGAGTGTCCACAATTTGATTGACTGTTGTTAGCGCGCAATCAGCGGAAAGCTAAAATTATGAAGATGTATTCTAAACGAACCAATCTCCTCGCTGACCCATGTGATGACGAGGGAGAGCACCACGAACACGAGCGCCATCCGCCAGCCCAGCACGTAGAGCGAATGCACCGCCGCAAACACCACCAACGAGATCGGCATGACCAGGCCTGGTGGCGTGCATACAGTCAGCTTCGAAAGAAAGAAAGAGCAAAGGAAGAGAATGAGTGAGTGATGTGATAGATACCAAGGTCTCGGATCGGGTCGGCGTAGTGCCCAAACTGGGAAATGAGGCCATAGAAAATGTACAGATAAAATAAAAATATACAAAAATAGGAGAGCCCCAGTATGGCGTGGGGCAGGGTCAACAGCTGGCGCCACCTGTCAACCAGAAATATAATAAAATAAAATAAATATTAGTCACGCAAATACTGACGAAAAAAGAGCGAAGACGAAAGGAAGGTCAAGAAGAAGAGAAGGGGGGGTGTACGTACCTGAGGCGTTGGCGGTACTGTTTGACCATGAGGCGCCACGACGGATCGTAGTAGGCGCTCGATCCGCCGCTCTCGACAGAGATCTCTGTAGACACCGTTTCCTCCATTTTGTTTGGCTGTGTGACCTTTTGAATCCAAAATCACCAGATGCTTGCTTGGTGTATTCACAACCGGATCTCGGGCGATGGGCCAGAGTGGCGGGCCGCTCAATCTTACCGCCAAGAACGAAGAAATGGAGAGCGAAAGTTTTTTATCCGTCGAGGAAAATATTTTCTTTCTGAATTTCATGCTTTCCTTTTAGGAGCAACACACCCTTTTGGGCCACCACCAACTGGAGCGTTGTCCTTTTCTATGATAGCAGACTGAGCTGGTGTTAAGAGAGAGGAGACAAGATGACCACCAACCTTGATGCTGCGAAGGAGCTCTACGTGCTGTTCAGCGCTGGAGACTTCGACGGAATGGCGGCCCGCGTTACGGACGACACCGAGTGGTACCTCTGTACGGGAGCCCCCTACGGCGGGTACCTCCACGGGAAGCAGGAGATGCTGACCTGGATGAGGGAGAAGCTCACCCTCGCGTTCACCCGCTTCGAGCCGACTCGCTACTTCGTCGACGGCGACGAAGTGGTAGCCTTCGTCAGCTGCGAGGCCACTGTCCCTTCCACCGGCAAATCATTCGCCCTCGAGCTCGTGCACCGCATGCGCTTTGTGGACGGCAAGCTGTCGTACATGTTCGAGTTCAACCACGACGCCCGCCTGGTCGCCGCCGCTTTCGAGCCCTAATGTATTGGATCTGATCTGATCTGACAATAAACTGTGAAGAAGTGCTTCACCCCAACAATATGACGACAACCATGTATGTTGTCCAAGTGTATGTCCAACAAGGTGATGTACACACGAACATGTCACGCTCATTGGAGGTGAGCGACCAGTCGGGGCAGGAGACCGGCGTAGAGCTTGCCCTCGCGCGCAGTCATGACGCTGGCCAGCGATGGCGGAATGACAGGCGCGGTGTTGGTGGACTTGGAGGCGGAGGTGGCGCTCCGGCTGACGAACAAGAGGAAGTCCGCGATCCGCTGCCAGTCGTTGCGCTCCTGCAGCACTCGTAGCTTGTCCAGTAGGTTCCACAGGTCCGTGAAGTAGTCGTTCACCGCCTTGTTCTTGCTTCCGCCGCCTCCGGGGCTCGTCTTACCCTCCTTCCCGCCATTTGCCACGGCAGTGGCGGCGGTGACCTCGTCTTCGCCCTCGGCGCCCACTCGCCACAGCCGTTGCACGGAGACGAGGACGAGATGCAGCAGGCCCATGAACAGGGGCCGTACCGAGAGCATCAGCATCTGCGTCGGCGCCTTCTTGGGGAGCGAGGCGTCAGCCAGGTCGCGGACCTGCAAAGCAATCCCGTTTAGCAATCGGCCACGATCATTAAGGGAGGCGGCGGTGGTGGCAAGACGTACGGCACGAATGAAGTTTCTCGATCGGGTGACGACGCGTCGCAATCGGTCGACCCGCCTCTGCTCCTTGGACGTGCAGAAGGGCTCAAAGTCGTAGAAGAAGGGCTCCGCGCGTTCGTCGCTTTCGCTGCCGCCGCCTCGCACCCGTGCGATCAGCTGCTCCAGGGACTCGAGAGACGCGCGGCAAGCTAGCGTGCTTGCGTCTTCCTCCTGTTCCGCGTCTTCTTCTTGCGTCCTCGCTTGCTGTTGCTCTTGCGCGATCTGCTTGGACGCGTCGTGCCAGAGCTCGATGGCTGCCGCAAGGTCCTTCTGCAGGAGGGCCTTGGGGTGGAAGCACGGCCGGTAGTCGACCGCAATGAACTGCCAGATGCGGTGCAGCAGCCCCGATTCTGCTGGGAAGGAATGCCTGTTATTCATTCATTCGCAGCTACAAGGTCGTTGTTGTTGTTAGTTGAATGTACCGGGAATGGAGGGTGAGGTAGGTCGGAAGGGCAGGCACAGAGCGATGGCCACGGCGATGCAGCGATCGGCAAAGTCCCGCGGGATGAGCTCGTTGCCCTGCGTGGAGCCGTGGGCCAGGTAGTGCCGCAGACCACCGCCGCCTGGCCGGGTGGCGCACATGGGAAAATGTTGTAAGTCCTCACATATCGGAGTTATAAAAATGTGTGAAAAGGGCGTACATTCGCCCCACTGGAAGAGATCATACAAGGCATGCATCATCGGCCTGCTCCATGCCGTGTAGAACAGGTTCGGACCTGAAGCACCCAATATCACGTGTAATTTAGGCGATGAGGTGCTGTGTCGAGCGTGATGCGTTGTTGTTGTTGTTGTTGTGTGTGTGTTGCGGTGATGCGCCAGATGGGTGTGATTTACCGTTGTCCATGGTGGGGCGGAGGATCTTGTCCAACTTGCAGCCCCTTTTCATTGGGCAGTCGTTCAGGTAGAGGCACAGTTTGCGCATGGAATGCTCCATCAGTGGCAGCAAGACCAAGAGCGCTCTGCGATAGGTACAACGTCACACGATAGGGGAGATGAGCTGCCGGCAGACCACTCTCCAATTCCATGTGAGGTTCACCTCAAGGCGATACCTGTAGTTGTGGCCTTGGGCAAAGTAACGGAAGGCATCGGACCAGAGCTCCTCCTGGCCGGCGACGATGAGGAAGTTGTCCGTGATCACTTCGTTCACCTCGTTGATTTGCTCTGGGCTCAACACATCTGCATTCCACCATCGCACAGCGTCAGTAAATCACGTTCAACCCAATGAGCAAGAAGGTGTTGGTTGGCTGGTTGGTTGGTACCCGGAAAAGCCCTGGTCCCGAGACCAAAGTCGAGATTGTGAACGAAGCGGTGGAAGTCGGTTAGTGGCCGCGGCTCTCCCATCATCTCCTTCCTATCAATCGAGTGACGGATTATGGGTGAGCTCTTCGCATTCACATCTGCGCAGTCGACCCAAGTCTGTCGCAGTCGCGTACCGAAGTGGCGCCGGTGGCGGGGGCAAACTGAAGACGGCCAGGCACAGGAATGTGAAATAGGCACGGTCGAATTGGGCCTGCAGGTCGGCAAAGAAAAGAGTAAGCACGCGCTCAACATTCTGCAAGTGATCGATTTGGGACGAAAAACCTTGGTGGCAAAGCCGTGCCACAGCAGGTTGCGTAGGTTCAGCCCGTCTTGAGTTCCCAACAAGACGTTGAGAACCACCGAGATCGTGCTGCCCCATAGGTTCCTGGACGCGGCGACGATTAGCTGACACGAATTCGTGCGTTTGCAGATCACGCCGGACACAGACACACGCGATTGTACGTACTCGAAGGTGGGCATCTTGAGAATATCTTGGAACTTGCGAGGAAGCGAGCGAGGCACGTCGTTGTTGAAGTACAGCAGATCTCGCATACGGCGATCCATCAACGAAACCTAAGCACAGATTGTGACTCTGAAATGTAAGCAGAAAGCGGTGAAACGGGGAGGAGCGGCGGTGGTGCTTGCAAGAAGCGAACCATTTCCATGAACGCAATCAGAGTATCGCCGTTGTGATGAGCCTCCATGAACGACAGCAGCTGCCATGTGAAGGAAAAAAACGAATATGACATGTTAGCAGGGCTGTGAGTCGCCAAACACCCGGTCAATCAAACCACCTTACCTGATTCTTAGGAATCAACCAGTGGTATTGTTCTTCGTCACAGTACCGCGCAAGGAACTCGTCTATCGTCGAATGGCCCTGTCGAAGAAGAAGAGCGAGCGCTCATCATCAGCGCCAAGCGCTTCATTTACTCGAGCGATGAAGGAGCAACGAGTGTGAACTCACCAGCTGTGCGTGGATGGCCTCGGCAGCCCGCCGAATGTGTATGGCCGTGTGCGCATACGACACCTGGAAGAACGCCGCGCCAAGCAATCAGGCATCACATTCATGGTGGCTTGGAGCCATGTAAAGCGCGGACAAACGAGTGTTTAGTTACCATCTCGGCGTGGGTGCTGGCGTGGGGCGAGGGTTCGAAGTCCTTCTCGTCGCCGGTCACCTCCCGCAATCGGTCCTCGAACTCTGCGTTGAGTGGCCGGAAGTGAAAAAAATCGTTATTAATGGAGTCAAACGTCAGGCCTGAACCGTGTTGGCGTGTATGTAGTGCTGCAGCTGCAACGATCGGTGCTCACCTTGGTCCATGTGCACGAGTGGCGCGACGAAGGCGTCCCACTTGAGCAGCCCGTCGTCGTGGAAGAAGTGGTCCCGGCTCGCCGTGTGTGAGTCCTTCGCAAACAAGATGAACGCAGACTTCTTCGAGAAGGTAAGGAACCGGCTCTTGGCCAGCAGCACGAGCTCGGCCACCTCGTCGTTCAACCGCGCCACAGCCTTGTCTCGATCGTCATCATCGGACAACGACAACGACAGTAGCATGGAGCGGAGCGAGCACAAGGCCTGGGCGGCCCGACCGAAAGCGATGGTCGCCGTTGCGGCGTTGACCGGCAGCATTGCGTTTCCCTTGGCGCGCAGCGTGGCGACTTTCCGCAGCAACGCCTCCATATCCGGCCTGTCGGGCAGAGTGACGATTGTCAGCGCACAGGGAGGGCAGGCCTCGGAGTGACACGCCTGACCTTGAGGGATGGAGCATACCACTGTGGGGCAGAAGCGGCAACGCGCTCAACGTCGACCCATAGCTCGGACTTGGCAACTAACCAGGATTAATAATAAACCAATAAATCAAAAACCTATCATAAAATTACAAAATGTCAGCAACGGAAGGATGGGCACCTGGTGAGGCTTCCATTCTAGCAGCTGTTTGTCCGGTAGTAACCGCTCTGCGCCTCCCCTATTCTAAATATTAGAGGACTGTCTTTCTGCCTGGCATTTGTTTTCCTGAAGGGTTTCCAGGATTTCTCCCATAGCAAGGGAGTGAAGCAGCTCCGAACTGATTAAGGTGGCTTGATGACAAGGCTGGAATCTCGTTTGGTCCGCGGTGCAGTCCCCGGGGCATGTGCGTACGGCTTCCGGCACCGTCTGATCTGATGACCCTCTTCTGTGAGTGCCTGCAGAATTCAACAAAAGAGTTCACTGAGGCCCAGCGTACTCAATTAGCACCACTCCACTCAAACAAAACGATGGAAGGGAGTCCTCGCAACATGCAACATCATCGCCCAGTAGCCCTCGAGGAAGAGGCCTCCATCGTGCAGGTCTACCCACCCATCGCTAAGCGAGAAGGCCTCATGTGGTGGACCGGCCCACCATCAACCACGCCAGAGACGGCAGAATCTGAAGACGTAGTGGTGCTGCCGGTCGTGGGCCAAGTGGTGAGCCGGAGCCGCTTCAAGGACCTGCAGAGCCGCGCCGTGTCGCTTTTCCTGGCCTCGACCTTTGGCATGGAGGACCGCCAGCGGCTGCAGGCCCGCCTGCACCCCTTCTTCCCCAGCCTGCTGCCTAGCACGAACCGCAGCCGCCGTATCGTGGCGCGGCTCCTGCCATGCGACCCCAGCCACACCCTCCAGTCCGTGCCACTCCACTCCGTACCCGGTACCCACCCCACCACTGCAGTTCTATTTTCCTGATTATGTCATAAAATAAGAAAATTGCGATTTACATATTCACCTCTTTCCATTAACAAAAAAAAAAGAGTGGCCGCTGGCGATACCGGCGGACAGTAGTGGGCACTTCAGTGGCGAGCTGCGGGTACCGGTGGGCGTGCTGCAGGCCCTGGGCTATCCGCTGGCGCGCCACGCCCATGGCGGGATCTCTCCTACCGACCCGGCCGGGACACCGCTGTGGATCCGCTTCGGCGTGCGCGCACAGGTTTTCTCGCCCGAGGAGGGCTGTGTGGAGGACCGGGTGCGCACCCTCACCACCGACGACCACCGACGACGGCCGCTCACCTTGTGGTGTGGCTGGTCGTGCAGGAAAGCGAAGCCGAGGGTCAGGCGATGCTGCTCGAGGAGGAGGGCGTGTCGGTTATCTCGGATGTCGATGACACGCTGCGCATCAGCGTCGTGGGCAAGCTGTCCCACTACTTCAAGAGCACCTTTCTCAAGGAGTTCGAAGACGTGCACGGCATGGCCGAGCTCTACCAGGTTTACGCTTCTTTGTCGTGTGCCGTGCCGTGTGGCTCTCACGCGCGCAATCCAATCGCAGGTGTGGGAGAGCACGCTGCAGGCTCGGTTCCACTACGTAAGCGGTACGCCGTGTCAGCTGTGGCAGCCCTTGAGCGCATTCCTCGCCAACAAGGGCTTTCCCAAGGGCAGCTTCCACTTGCTCTCCTTCCGGGTGCGAGGTACGTACGGAGTCGGCCGATGTTTTCGTCAGAGTGAAGTGCTGATCGAGATCGGTGTCGGTCGGCGCGCGCAGAGATGCTGGGCATGGAGGGTCCGTCCCGTCTGCAGGTCAAGACGGCGCACATCGAGAGCCTGCTCCAGCGCTTTCCCCGGCGCAAGTTCATCTGCGTCGGCGACACCTCCGAACAGGACCCCGAGGTGCGCCACATCCGTTGATGCGCGGTGGCGATGACGATGGTCATGATAGTGATGGTGATGATGGTGGTGCCACGCAGATCTACGTGGAGCTGGCCAAGCGCTACCCGGAGCAGGTCAAGGCCATCTTCATCCGCCGGGTGCCCGAGATCCGCAAGCAGAGGCAGCGGGAGGTGGAGGCGGCGACCGACGAGACCGTCCTGCGCGCGACCGTCGAGGAGCGCCTGCGCACCCTGGCCAGCAAGGTCAAGCGCGTGCGGCCCTCCGGGAGCAGTAGCCCGACGGCGGCCCCGCACGTGCGCAAGCGCGACCGGCTGTCGGGCCTGCTGGCGGGTGCGCACCACGGGCAGGGCTCCGCGGGCAGCATCACCGGCCTGGGGCTGCGAGAGCGGTGGCGAGCGAGGGACGATCAGCACCTTGGCAGTAGCACTACGACGACGAGGAAGCGGGACAAGATGGCCAAGCTGCTCCACCGGCGAACCGAGAGCGAAACGACGAGTAGTAGTAGTACAGCCGACGGCGACGACAGACGGTGGGCCGAGCTGGGCGTGGCGGCGCTCGAAGGGAAGACGCTGTGGCGAGTATTCGACGACCCCGGCGAGCTGCTGCACATCAACTTGATGCAAGTCGTGCTGTGAAGTAAAATCTGAAGCATCATTAGTTGCTGCTTGGGCCACACATCATTAGTCGCTGAGCACCGTGGTGCCCTCGTGATGAGCCAATCGAATCCGATAGATCGCGATGTCCTTGGCTCGGTAGGACGGGTGCATGTCGTCATAGCTGACCTGCTGCACGACGAAGCCGGCGTCGGCCATCAGCCGGAAGAACTTCTGCTCGACCTGCAGCGATCGCGTCTCGTGGGCGAGTATGATCTCTCTTCGTCGACGTTGGCTGTCGTCTACGCTCGTGTGGTGGCCGTCGCCCGAGTTGCGCTGATATGTCACTAGGCGGGTGAAGGTGTCGACCAGCGGCTGGAGCAGGTGGTCGAGCCATATCACGTCCGACGCCACGATGAGGTCAAATGGCCCATCTCGTACCACAATGCCAATATCTTCGCCCCACCGCAGCTCGGCCACCTGACAGTGAGTTCAGCGAAGGTGGTCACTGCAAGGGTGTAGGAAGAAAAGCTACCTTGACATCCAGTTCGTGGCCTTCGGTCTTGTTGGCATCGACGTTCATTTGGATGCTGGGCAGCACTTCGCCTAGATCGGTGATCGTCACGCTGGCACCTGCGCTTTCGCCTCTTAGCATTCACAGCTCACAGCATTGACGACAGTAGCGACCCTGCAAACGCAAGGGGTGCGTGCGTACCCTGGAGGCCGAGCGCTATTCCCACAAGGCCGCAGCCTGCGCCCACCTCGATCACGCGCTTGGCCGGCCACTCGTCCGCCCGCAGATCCGGCGCCACCTCGAGGTACTTGGCCAGCGCGATCGACTGGTTGGCCAGACCCCACCAGCATTGGTGAATAGTGAGCGTGCAGCCGCTAGCGGCCACCACCGCTGCACAGGGGAACGCTGGTGAAGGGGACGTACGGCATCCCACACAGAGAGTGCGGTCTTGGCCTCGTGCGTGACAATGGAGCTGGGGTCGAGATTGCGCTCGCCGATGGTCACCCGCCTACCGAAGAAGTGCACGTCGTTGGCCGGGTTGTAGGGGTCGTTCACGCTCCACCTCGTCCCGCGCAACATCAACACCGGCGCCGTCGGTAGCATTGCGATTGTGTCGTCGATTTGTGTTGTACTACAAATGGATGAGATTATCAATCCAAAAAGAAAGAATAAATGAAAAAGAAAAGTGTTTTACGGTTGGTTTTCGTCGCTTGTGCCTCTGCTCCCCATCCCATGAAGATTGTGCCTGGGGGAACCAGCTCTGGCGTTTGATTCACTCTTTGTAGAGAAACGAAGATGGATATACGCCTGGGCAAGAAGAAAGCTGGCGCCTATCTCAATGACTACGACGATGAAAGCCACTGGGCTGTGGGCCTATTTGACTGCCTCGACACCCATCTCGACGCTTGTACGATCTGCTTTCGTCTGGGCACTTACAAAATACGCTTTTATTTTATTTTATTTGTATTTTATTTTTATTTTTATTTTTTATTTGTTCTTTAAAATAAAATAATATTCGTATTGACCTGGCACCCAGTTCTGGTATCGTGGGCTTGTGGAGTGTGCGTGATCGCAACACAGAAGGCGACGCTGGAGGGACGAACAGGTTGCAACATCGCACAGGACTGCGTGCCGGTTACGTGCTGTCCGCTCTGCTGCGCCACGCTCGGTACCCACCTCGCTTTCGAGTAAGTGTGAAGTATGCTGCAATGGTCTCATGCTGCTCTTCTCTTGTCTATGATCCAGTGCGAACCCAAATCCGCGATCGCTATGGGATAGGTACCAGTCTTCGCGCATGTTCGCTTCTTCAACTTCGTCAACTGTTTCTGACACTCACTTTGCTATAGAGGGCTCGTGTATATCCGACGCGCTGGTGAGCTGCCTCTGCTCGGTATGCGCCCTCACGCAGCAGGTGCAACAGATGGAGCACAAGGGAGACCGCCCAGCCCTCTTGTTCATGGACAAGGAACCCTAGCCTCCTCTCTGCCGTCCATCATGTTGTTTGTCTTCTTTAGGCGCTATCGCGGTCCTTCTTGTTAATATTATAAATAAATATTCAACTTCATATCTAGCGGCTACCAATGAATGGCTAGACCATAGAGACCAGGTCGCAGTCGTCGGCCTCGGGTCCCTTCCGCATGTGACCGTTGGTTGCTGACGTGGCCAGACAGAAATCTCGCCACGCTGCTTCCGTTTCCGTGTCCTGCAAATTTCTTCCGCCTGCCGTTGTGGGGTGGTCCTCATTTTCGTCTTCTTGTAGCAGCACACAAGTAGAACAACCACCAACCACTTCACCAACAACCACCAGGCCGCCCACACGGTGCTGTAACTTCTACTCAAAGGTTTGAAACGGTACTGCACACAGCTCAACAATCTTTATTGTTTTAGGATCCAACCCGCAAAAGCCCCCCCCCCATCCACATCTTTTATTACATCACCAAGGCAAGAAGCATAAGAAGAAGCCAACCCTCCCTTGCGTTCTCGAAGATGGCACGAACAAGCAGCAAGAAGGCGCTGAGCAAGGATACGAGCAAGAAGCAGAAGAAGATGGGCAAGTCCAGCAGCGGCCATCAGCTGTGCAAGAGGTGCAGCAGGCGCTTCGGTTCGAAGGCGTGCGCCAAGCGACTGTGCGGTTCGTGCTGTCCTCTGGGAGGTGGTGCCGGGCATGGTGAGCAGTGCGTAGCGCACCTCTCCCTGCGCCGAGCTGCCAAGCGAAAGCAGGGCGCCTTCTTGCTGGTCTCCTCGGTCAATCGCCTCAAGCGCGAAGAAGAGAGATCTGGCCTGGGCACCAGGAAGAAGAGCAAGAAGCCCAAGCTGATGAGCAGCAAGGCCAGCAAGCACCTCGCCAAGCGCTTGAAGACGCTCTCCACCGCCGAGGAGTGCGACGACCACGGCGTCGATGGCGATGAAGTTGAAGTAGTGTCGCAGGAATCCCCTGACCGAGACGACGGCGCGTGGTGCGACGTCGGCGGAGCGGCCACGCTCGAGGCCGTGGTGGCGGTGCAGGCCGAGGAGATCGCCAGGCTGCGGCGGGAGCTCAAGCACACGCGGCACGCGCACGAGCGGCTCAAGCGGAAGCGCGTCAAGGTCGAGCAGGGCCTGTGCATCATCTGCGAGGAGCGCGGCCTCAACGTGCTCCTGGTGCCCTGCGGCCACTGCTACTGCCGCGAGTGCGTCGATGCGCTGCCGTCGTGCCCTGTGTGCCGCTCCAGCATCCGCAAGCGCCACAACTTCCACCCGCCGGCCTACGTCTGCGACGACGCCGTGTTGGCCATGGTACCGCCCAGCCTGCCCACGGCGCCCAAGCCGACGTCGCCTGGCGCCGCGGCGCTGGCGGATGAGGCGGATGAGTTCGTGCTCAGGCGCCGCAGCGCCGCCAACCCGCATCGCATTCTCTTCGTGTGACGCGTCGAGCAAGGCGTGAGTGGAGTTCACGACTGTAGATAGGTGACAACCGTCGCCATGAAGAAGAAGAACAAGAAGCTTGGAAGAGCTGCGCTGTACATACTCGGGCAGCCTTGCAATGTAGCAATTTCCCAAATATTTTCTTGGAAACATTTCCTTGTTTTCTGCTGGCTTTCCTTGTTCTCTGTTATTTCCGGTGTTGCTGTTTCGTTCAACGCGAGAGATTCGGCCGATCGTGTGCATCCGGAGAGGAATCGTGTCCTAGTGCTGGGCAAGAATCAAGATGGGACGCAACAGTACGTGTTCCTCCGAACGTTTTGTTGATTGCAATTTACAGCAATTTGCAATCGCCAAAAACATCAAAATTGGAAATGCGAGATTTGACATGTCCGTTTGTGATGGTTTTCGTGCACGTAATACAGAACAACATGTGAGCAAGCGGGAGCAGCTGCGCAGCAAGAACAAGAACTACAAGGCGACCAAGGAGAAGCAGAAGGTGCAGAGCAAGGAGGGCAAGAAGGATCCCACCAAGCGAAAGGGTGCGCACCATGAAAGTTCCTTTTCATTTTATTGTTACCCTCACACCCGCTGGGTGGAGGCCACCCTTCTGCCCTTTTTAATTGTATTTAATTATAATGTTGTTATATTAATTATTTTGTTATCACGAGTAAATTTATTTATTTTATTTTCAATCTACGCAGAGCTGAAGAAGGATCCGGGCCTGCCCAACTTGGATCGCTTCAAGCAGACCTTCACCGCGCGCCTCGAGCGCATCGCCGAAAAGAGCGAACGCCAGCGCGATCGCCAGGTACCCACTCGTATCCCCTTACAGCCCCGCCAAGCCACCACTAACATAGAGGTGCGTGTGCGTGTGCGTGTGCGTGTGCGTGTGCGTTGCGCAATGTGTGATGATATCTCAGAAGAAGGATAGGGAGCGTGTGCTGGAGGAGCAGCGCAAGCAGATGTCGATGCACGAACTGGTCAAGAACGCCATGGACCGCGAGCGATCGTTCTTCCAGAAGGAGGAGGGCAGGGGCGTGGAGTCCCTCCAGACCATGACCGACAGTACGAAGGCCTCCTCACGCGCATGCCCGTGTAGTGGGTGGTGACTGGTCCGCTGGGCTGAACGTTACGTTCGTGGTCGGTGCCTCGCAGGCTCCAAGAAGGCCTTCTTCAGGGAGTTCAAGAAGGTGGTCAAGGCCGCCGACGTCATCTTGGAGGTGCTCGACGCCCGAGATCCGTTGGGCTGCCGGTGTCTCGACGTGGAGCAGATGATCATCACCCAGGACCCCAACAAGAAGATCATTCTCATCCTCAACAAGATCGGTACGCGCACATCATTGTACTCCATAGGCCAATCAATCACTGGCATTCTCACTTGAGTGTCACCGTGTGTCGCGTGTCGTGTCGCGTGTGTCGCGTGTGTCGTGTGTGTGGTTATGTCCTAGATCTGGTGCCGAAGGAGAATGTGGAGAAGTGGCTCAAGTACCTGCGAAACGACTTCCCCACGCTGGCCTTCAAGTGCTCGACCCAGAAGAAGGGCAAGATCGCCCAGTCGACCGTGTCCCTCCAGTCCGCGTCCTCCACCTCCAACATGGAGACCAGCGAGTGTCTCGGAGCCGACGCGCTCATCCAGCTCCTCAAGAACTACTCGCGCTCGCTCAACATGAAGACCTCCATCACCGTCGGCATCATCGGTACGTGCAGCACTTTCAATTTCTCAATTTCTCACAATATTGACAGTTGTATAAGTATTTATTTATTTACATGTTTATATATTTGTTTGTATATAAATATATATTTATATGGCGGTGAATGATTGTACCATAGGCTACCCGAACGTCGGCAAGAGCAGTTTGATCAACAGCTTGAAGCGAGAGCGCGCCGTGGGCGTGGGCGCCACCCCCGGCTACACGCGCGCCATGCAGGAGGTGCACATCGACAAGCACGTCAAGCTGCTGGATTGCCCCGGTATCGTCTTCTCCGAGAGCTCGTCTGAGTCCGACCTCGTGCTCCGCAACTGCATCAAGGTCGAGCAGATCACCGACACCGTCAAGCCCGGTACCCCACTCTCACACTTTCATTTCTCGTCGTATTTCTTCTTCTTTTCTTCATCTTACGCTTTCGTGGTTACGCCAGTCGACCTGATCCTCAGTCGATGCCGGAGGGAGAAGCTGATGGAGCTGTACAAGATCCCGATCTACCACGACACGCGGGAGTTCCTGTGCCACATCGCCCACAAGCGCGGCAAGCTCGGCAAGGTACTACTACCCTGCTGTCACGACCACCACCACCCACCCACCACCCACCACCCACCACCCACGACGCCGTGGTGGCGTTGTTTGGCTGCGTGGGAGTCACTTGCTGAGTGATGTCGCCGGGTGGCATGCAGGGTGGCGTGCCCGAGTACGAGGCCGCGGCGCGCACGGTGCTGCAGGACTGGAATTCGGGCAAGATCGCGTTCTACACGGAGCCCCCGAAGGAGAGGAAGGGCATCCACGTGTCGGCGCAGGTCGTCTCTCAGTTCTCGGAGGAGATCAAGCTCGACAATATCTTCGTCAACGAGGATTCTTCAGGTAAACACGACACGCACGACACGCACGACACGCACGACACGCACGACACGCACGACACGCACGACACGCACGACACGCACGACACGCACGACACGCACGACACGCACGACACGCACGACACGCACGACACGCACGACACGCACGACACGCACGACACACATTAACGATGTTTCTCGTGTCTGCAGTGCTCTCTGGTCTGGCGGACACGGACAGCGGGCGCTTCATGTCGATGGGCACCAGCGTCTTTTCGTCGACTGTCGACACTAATCTCATGCGGCACCTGGGCACCGAGATGGAGGACATGGGTCAGGACGACGATGACGACGACGACGACAAGTCGACCGCCCAGCAAACGCGATACCTCGTGCGCGGCGACGAGCACGCGTTGGCCGCCGCCCTGCTGCCGCGGGCGACGGCATGCTCGAGGAGGAGCAGGCCTACGACGCCAACGGCAACAACGCGACGCTCATCCAGCAGCGCAAGCTGTTCGAGGACGAGGACAAGATCAACCCGCAGACGCAGAAGGACCGCAAGAAGTACCTCAAGCTGGTCCGCAAGATGCGGCGGAAGGGCAAGGAGACGATGGGCATGGCCATGCTGGGCGAGGGCGAAGAGGAGCAGGAGGACGACGACGGTGGCGACGACGATGGCCTGGACGATGACCTGAACGGTGGCGGGCCGGTGGTGGACACGGTGGAGAGCGTCACAAGCCGGCTGGGCCTGTTCACGCCGGACGACCTGGTCAAGTTCCTCGAGACCAAGAAGGCCATCAAGGACCTGAAGAAGAAGAAGAGCCGGAAGGGCAAGCAAAAGGTACAGGACGACGACGAAGAGAAGGAAGAAGAAGGAGGTGAAGGTGACGGTGGCGCCGGCATGGACGAAGAAGAAGAGGAGCTGTTCGATGTCGACGAGATGCACTAAAGCAAGCCAACAGCGATTGGCCAACCTAGTGGGTCACAAACTACTTTTGTGTCGACTTGTCCAGGACAACATTGGCACTAACCGTGAAGCCTACAGCCGATGATACGCCAACACAACACAACACAACACAACAACACAATGAACACGACAGCGACAGCCACGTTTCCTCCCCACCTCTACTTTGCCCTGCTGAGTGCGGTGCGTGAGTTCCGGGTGCCCGGGTGCTACGTCGACATGGTGCAGGACACGGGGGTGGCCACCTTCACCGGCCGCCGACCTCAGGTCGTCTCTGCCGGCAAAGCCCAGTTCGAGCAGGTCGTCAGACGGCTCCAGCGGGAAGACCTGGCCAAAGCCCAAGCCCACGCCGAGGAGGTACGTACCACCACCCACACATGCCACACACAAGGCAACTGACTCTATGTACTGAATGTAGGGTACGACCCCAGGACCGGTCTACGAGCCTGTTCGTGGTGCGGTCTCGCTGCCCACCAGCAGCCATTCGCCCAAGGTGGTGGCGTCGTACAGCTGGAACATGGCCGATCCCGATGAACCCTACGCCATCCCTGGCCATCTGGTAACAGTTCACGCGCACGCACACATGCCCCCGGCGGGTGCTGATGTTTTGTTTGTTTGTTGCAGAGCACCTTTTCCAAACCGGAGACTCCACTGAGCCTGGCCGCCGATGACGGCGGCGCTCACGACCCCTTATCGTGGGAGACGGCCCGAGGCATGGCCACCGCCATGGAGCCCATCGTGGTGGCCTGTTGCGCTCTCGACCCGACGTTCTCGGTGCGTCTCCTCACGCACACGGCACACGGCACACACGGCACACACGGCACAACTCACATCCATCGGTGCGTTCAGCTGTCGGCGTGCCAGGTGGTGACGGACCGCAACAACCTGCGCAAGATCTTCAGGTGGGCCTGTGGGGACAGGAGCCGATGGAGGATCGACCTGGAGAAGGTGGCGCCCGACACCATTGCCATGCTGCGCTTCGACCTCTCGGAGGAGGGCCAATCCGAGCTGCTGCAGCGCAAGCGCAGCGGGTACCGATTCGAGGACCTGTGCTGCGCCGGTGATGATGGTCGTGCCAGCGCCAGCTCGGACTCCTACCGCGCGGTACTGGAATTCGAAACGGCCGGCATCCGATTCCTCATGCGATGCGAGATCGACGCTGCCATGGCCCCGCAGGAGTCTGACGAGCTCCTCGAGTTGCAGCTGGCCCAGCTGTCGCTCGCGGCTCGGCCCCTCAAGTTGGCAGGCAGTGAGCTGGTCTTTCAGCGCTCGGCCTGGCCTAAGGCGCCCGAGTTCGTCGAGCTGACCTCCATGATTGACCAGCGCTTCGAACACCCCAGGTAAAACGCCGGCCTGAGTCGCACCACCGACAAAGCACCAACACCGCACTGACAGGGGGAAGTAGGGATTTGAAGGAGATGAAGGACAAGTGGTTCCAGGCCTACCTCGCCGGTGTGCACACGACGGTGTTCGGCCTGAAGCCGGCCAGGGACAAGATGGTGGTGGAGTCCACTGTTGAGCTGAGCCCCTCGGAGCTGTTGCAGTGGTTCAAGGCACCGACACCCCACCATAACGTTGTGCAGAGTTTGATGAATTTGTATGGTGCACTGGCGCGTGCTAAGGAATTCAACACATGTGGCGCAGATGGACGTGTCAAGGGAGCTCACGGAGACGATGAACGTGGTGGGCTTCGTAAGGGAGTGCCTGGCCGACGAGCCCGTGGGCGCCGTGCATTCGCTCTACTTCGAACCCACCGACCCCCAGCCGGGGATTCGGTTGCGCCAACGGCGGGTCACTGCCGATCGGGCCTTCCCGAGCTACGTCTACGAACAGCAATCCTACGCCGTCATCGACGCGGCCACCCACCAGGCTTGACCTTCCTTTCTCGGCGCAAAACGTTTCCTTTCTTTTCCCTTCTTTCCTTTGTGCTGGTGTCTCTTGGGTTCTTAAGAACAGGGTGGTCTAATGACATGAAGTGCTCGGGCGTCAGGGTTGCGGTCATGTCGATGTTGCTGGCGGTAGTTGCAACGAGCTTAGCTGTAGCGGAGAAGGAGCATTGCAGCTTGGCCCAGGAACTGGAGGAGGAGGCGGTTTTGCTCGAACGCCACCAAGACGTGGTGCACCACCACCCTGAGAGCGAGCACACCACAACCAACGCAGCAGAGCCACAACAAGCGCAGAAGCCCGGCCGCCTCACCGAGAAGCAGCGCCAGCAGAAGCGAGAGCAGCGGCAGGCGCTCAAGGAGTCCGTGGTCGCCGTCATGCGCGCACAGGAGCAGGCCTTCGAGGCCCAGCGCGACGAGCTGGAGGCCAACAACGACAACTATGCCGGTGAGCCCGAGTTCGACCTGGTGCTGGGCGACATGCAGCTCAAGATGGCCCGACTCGCCCAGCAAGAGCAGGAAGACCCGCGCCTCCGCCTCAACTACGCCCTTTCCGTCCCTGTGCCCGCCTTCAAAGAGAAGAAGGTCGAGGCGAAGGGGCAGAAGGTGGGTTGGGGCGGGTCGTTGGAGGTCCCCGCGCAGGGCATGGAGAGCCGCGGGTCGTGGTCCTGGGGCTGGTCGAAGTCGTCGTCGCAGGGTGGTGGCGGCAAAACCAGCCGACCACGCGCCGACTCATAAGAGAGTTGATAAATAATAAATAGATTACATTTAATAAATAATGCTGTGTGTCGTGTTGTGTCGTGTTGCGGATGAGGGGGGGGGTACACGCGTGCTAGGCCTTGTGAAACTTGCCCCAGGCGAGCCGGTTGAGGGTCTTCTCCTTTCGCGTCGAGCGGGAGCCGTCGAACGACTGCTGCCGCTGCGGATGCGGCGGCTGGTCTTGGGTGGCCTCCGGCTCCTCCTCTTCAGTGAAGCCGCCCACGCTTTCGCTCAGGCGCAGCAGCTGGTAGGGGTCGATGTCGGCGATGCCCATCCGTCGGCCCAGCGCCGCCGAAGTCTTGACCGCCCAGTCGCCGCCGTCCGATCTGGACCTCCCCATCTACTCGCTCCACCTTCTCGCCCAGCCGCGAGTCCGCCGAAGTCGCGCGAGTGGGCGACTTCCTGCGTCGGGTGGCCAGCGGGAGCGAGCTGCGCATGCCCTCCGGGATGCTGCTGTAGCCCGAGCACGCGGCGCTTCCGCTGTTGGTCCGCGGGCGACCCTCTTGGGCGCGGTCGTCGAGGTAGTGGTGGGCTGGAGCAAGGCAAGGGCGTTGGTCAGGGCGCCCTCGTCGCAGGAGCGCGTTTTGATGGCGGCGGAGCGCGGGTTCAGCGAGCCGAAGGCCGAGTAGTGCAGGTCGAGCATGGACGAGGTGAGGAGCTTGCGCGGACTGCCTTTTATTCGCCGCGGAGCTGAACGCGGTCATCTTGCCACTCCCGGCCGCCGCCATCTCTGGGGATGACGGCGCCGCGAGACGGGGCGACACGTACTCAGTCTTGGACGGGGCCACAGGTGTAACGCTGGGTTCGGCTGACTCCACTGACGGCGGTGAACGCGTGGTCACGCCCGACGACGAGGCGTAGGGCGCCAGGGCGGTCAGGGACTGCGACGACGCCATCACTTCTTCGGCCACCTGCATGGCCATGCTCGTCGGAACCGCGGCCGCTGGCGAGCTGGAGAGGGAGATTCCGCCGCTTCCGCCGCAGCTGCTTGAGTGGGAGAGCGTGGCCGAGAAGTTGGAGGTGGTGGGCGAAGTGGTGAGCGAGGAGGAGGTGCGCTGCTGCGAGGGAAACAGCGACTCGAGCTTGTGGTAGAGCTCGCGGAAGGTGGGCCGGTCCTCGGGGTTCGCCTGGAGGCAGGGCAGAATGATCTGCGTGAAGATGTCGTCAGGACAGCCGTCGGGCTTGGCCAGCCGCACGCCCTGGAGCACGGCGTCGACCACCTCGCGGGTCGCCATGCCGGCGTAGGGCAGCGCACCAAAGCTGAAGATCTCCCACACCGTCACACCGAACGACCAGACGTCGCATTTGCCCGTGTACGGCTTGCCCATGAACACTTCAACGGCTGCGCCCCATCACATCAAAGGTCAGTTGCTGTGCTATGAGGAAAAGAAGAAGAAGAAGAAGTTGCTACGGTACCCGTCCAGCGCACAGGAATGGTCTTCATCTGTTGCGGGTTGAGCTCTTCGGTGGAGAGTCGCGACAGCCCAAAGTCGCACACCTTGACGCGGTAGACGTCGGATCGCTTGATCTCGAGCAGAAGATTGCGAGCGGCCAGGTCGCGGTGGATGATGCCGTGCTCCGCGAGATGGTCCATGCCCGCAGCGAGGTCCTTGGTCATCTGTATCAGCGACTCCACGCTGACCGCACCTCTGTGAACGTTTGCGGAGCGAGCCGGTCAGTGCAATGCGTGGCGGCGACTGACGGTGGCGCTGCGTACTGGTTCCGGATCAGATGCTTGTCGAGAGATCCGTCGGCCATGAACTCGGTGATGATGAAGAGCTGGCCCGGACCCTCCGCCAGGCCGAAAAATGTAACCACGTTCGGGTGTCGCCGGAAGACTCCTGAGCAGGTTCAATAAGGCAACCCAAGAGTTCGAACGTGTGGGTGATTAAGATCAAAGCGAAGCGTTTAGTTGAGCGAGGTTTGAGGGAAGCGTACGACATGATCTGCGCTTCGGCCAGGAATGAAGTCTTGTCGGTTGATCGGACGGACTTGATGGCGACCGTTGTCGTTCCTCGTAGTCGTCCCTATATCGGTGGGCACCCAGTCATCAGCCTTGGCTGCAACAAACGTATGAGGCGGGAGGAGAGAAAAGGTCACCGTACCTCCCACACGTCGCCGAATGCGCCCACTCCCAACTTATTCACAAAGGAGAGGTCGTTTTGACTGATCGTGGCCTTCACCGAATCTTCTGCATGAATGGAAGGTTGAGAGTTGAGAGTTAGGGTCGGCAGAACAGAAAAAGAAAGGAAGAAAGCTCTTGAATCTGCGCTCGTACTTCGCGGAGTCGCCGGGACTCGCTGCATATAATTGTACACTGCCAATCGGACGGAAAGAGGCAGACCCAGTTCCTGTAGGGCGCCAGAGCCATCATTAGATGATGGCCGTAAAAGACTACAAGACATGGGGTGACGAACGAACCTGAAGGTCATCCTTGGTGAGGATTTGCAACAC